AAAAAAAAAAAAAAAAAGAGTGAGCCAATGGCCAGATGTCTTCTACTTCTGCTCACTTTAAATTTAATCATTTACTTTGGATATGAGTTATACATCCAGCTCTTCTGCCCTAAACTGATTTCTCTTTTTTTTGAGAGAGAGAGAGAGAGAAACATCGATTTGTTGTTCCACTTACTTATGCATTCATTGGTTGATTCCTGAATGTGCCCTGACTGGGGATTGGACCTGCAACCTTGGTGTATTGTGATGACACTCTAACCAGCTGAGCTACCCAGCCAGGGCCTAAGTTGATTTCTTGAGTGACCCACAGTTTATATGAATGTGTTCAAAGACCTCAATATTCACGTAGGTTGGGCGACGACATTTATTCATTGATCCATTTATCATTGCATTTGACAAATATTTATATAGTATCTACTATATGCACATCGTGGGGCAAGCACCAGGATCAGTTAGATGATCTTTGCTTACAAAGATAAATAATATGGTCTTGCCTAGGTTATGGTCTAGCAAGCTTATGAGGTTTATAAGTATTAACTACAAATGAGGGAGGCTGTGAGATGGCCAAAAGATGAACATACCGGAAATTCTAAGATGGGAAAGAACATTTACGATCTAGAGTCATGGAAAGCTTCAAGGAGGAGGTGCCTTTTGAGTAGGACCATATCAGGTAGGGAGAATTTCAATAGGTGGAGATGAGGTTGGGAAGAGAAGAGCAGAAATAAAGACAAGGAGAGAATCCACGGACATGTTTTTGGTGAGATGGTGTCATCCACATTGTACCATATTGTCTCCCTAAGGCAAGTGGCCTTCAAACTGAGACCCTCACTTTCCCTTTACTTTGCAGATCAATGAGTTGAGCAATGTCCCTGTTCCTGTCATGCTAATGCCAGATGACTTCAAAGCATACAGCAAGATCAAGGTGGACAATCATCTCTTCAATAAGTAAGTTGCCTATTGAGTGGGCTCAGGTTTTGTGGGCAGTCCTTTCCCTCAAAGAAGAGAGCTTCTAAAACCTTGTATAAGGTGAGCCAAGCCTGCCCCTGGCAGGGTGTGACAGCGACACCTGAATCACTGAGCTGAAAAACTGGCTGGAAAATGCATTCATTGTGGGCCTTTCTCCCAGTTGTCTTGTCATCTCACTCCTTTATCAGCCTACCTCCAGGGTCCCTCGGGGCATGTTGCTCAGCTCTGGGTGATTCATCTAGGGCCAGTTTAGGAAGAAGTGAGCTGCTCAGGAGCTGAGGTATCTAGTATGAGGCTGACAGCAGTGGCCCTATCTTGATCTTAGTCTGAGGCCAGAAACTGCCAGCCATGGTTCTGGCCTGGGATGCAGCCAAGCTCTTTTCTCTCCAACTGGTATGTGAACAACAGGCTGAGCATGGTGCCTGAGGGCGCTATCCACAGTAATTCCACTTTTGTTCATTGTGGCTTCTTGGACTAACACTGGGGTCTGAAGGTTGTCTCAGGCTTTGTCAAAGCAGCCATCTCACCTGGCACAGTTTTGGGCGTGCTCTAAGCCCTTTGGAGGTCTTGCTTTTTAAAAAATATATATATATTTATTGATTTCAGAGGGAGGAAGAGAGAGAGAAAGAGAGACAGAAACATTAGTTATGAGAGAGTCATTGATCAGCTGCCTCCTGCACACCCTCTACGGGGATGGAGCCTGCAGCCCGGACATGTGCCCTGACCGGGAATCAAACCCCAGTTGTCTGGATCCTAGGTCAATGCTTAACTGCTGAGCCACGCCACTGGGTAGGAGGCCTTGCTTTTTATCCTACTATGGGTCACCCCAGGAACTGTTTGTTGCTCACACTCTTCCTTTCTGCATTTGAACCCTGGTTCCACTCTCCATTGTTCCACAGTCCTCACCACCTCACCAGCTGGGCTCTGTCACCCCACCAGTCTCAGACTGGGAGGAGAAGTTTGATTTGAAAATGTCCCTTAGTGACCTCTCTCTGGCCTAGTAATAATAACATCTTATTCTAGAAGCTGTCTTCATAGCTGCTGCTTGCTTAGCAGCCACCTGTATAGAAGAAAAACTCTCCTGTGTTTCTCCTCTACTCTCACACTTCTGTAATTCTGTAGGACACCAGTTGGGTGTCCTACAGTTCAAGTTAGCATCAGGTCCCATGGATTAAGGGCTCAGTCCCACAAGACTACCCCTTCCCCACCTCACTTCAGATGCCAGTCACAAGTCCAGGTTGTCACCTGTGCTTCTCACCTCTGTAGATCAGAGGTTCCCATGACTCTCTCCTTTGGATTCAATTAATTTGTTCCCTGGCTCACAGAACTCAGGAAAATAGTTTACTTGCTAGATTACTGGTTTACTATAAAAGATTACAACTCAAGAATAGCCAGGTGGAAGAGATGCATAGGGCAGGGTATGGGCAAGGGTGCGTAGTTTCCATGCCTTCTCCATGTGCACCACTCTCCCTGCACCTCCACGTGTTCACCACCCTGGAAGCTCCCAAACCCAATCCTTTTGGATTTTTATGGAGACTTTATTATGGAGGCATGTTTAATTAAATAATTGGCCATTAGTGATTGATTTAACCTCTAGTCCCTCTCGCCTCCATGAGGGTCAGGGTGGTGGGACTGAAGTTTCCAACCCTGTAATCCTGGTTGGTTCCCCTGGCAACCAGCACTCATCCTTAGAGGCTTCCCAAAAGTCACCTCACTAACATAAACTCAGGTGTGGTTGAAAGGGGCTTGTTGTCCGGCTGGGCCTGGCTCAGCGGTTGAGCGTCAACCTAGGATCCAGGCTATCGGGGTTCGATTCCCGGTCAGGGCACATGCCAGGGTTGCGGGCTCGATCAGTGACTCTCTCATCATTGATGTTTCTATCTCTCTCTCTCCCTCTCCCTTCCCCTCTCTGAAATCAATAAAGATATATTTTAAAAAAGGGGGGGGCTTGTTATGAGTAACAAAAGGTATCTTTATTTCTCTTACCACTTAGGAAATTACAAGGGTTTGAGGAGCTCTGTGCCAGAAACAGGAAAAAAATATCTCTTTCTTATTACCTCACAGCATCACACCACCTAAGGAAGGAGACGCAGCCCTCAGCTTGGAGGCAGGAAAGGAGGTCATTCTGTCCCAGAGGTCAGGGCTCTGGAAGTGGGCTCTGTACCACTGCCCATTTTAGGATCTGTGACCTCTGGTGAAGTTCCAGAACCTTGACATCTTGGCCTAATGCAGAGGATCCAAACTCTTATTTTATTTTGTTTTATTTCCTTATTCCTTTTGTCCTTTCAGTGACTGTTTATGTGCTAGTTATTAAACTACAGTACTATTTTCTAAAAGACGGGTACAATAAGGCATACTAGTCTGCCTTCATGAGAAGCCACTGCTTTTTATTTATTTATTTACTTATTTATTAAGTATTCCAGTAAGACTTTATTTACAAAAATGGTGGTTGGCCATATTTGACCCATGGAAGCCACTGCTTTTTATTTCCTCGAAGTCTGTTAACCTGGAGGAGTCAGAGGGACATATTTCTGAAAGGGAGTTCCCAAGCAGGGTGACTATTGTCAGCATGGAAGATTTGGGGGAGGCATCACTTCAAGGGTAGAGATTGGCATCAGCAGACAAGGCTCCATGAAAAGATGGGAACCCAGTCAATTGACTGAGGATCTCCCATTTAAAGTCCTCCTTCATCCCAGTGGAAATGAAGTGCAGGGCTTCGTGGATGCAACCAGGATGTTTTGATAGGAACATCCCCAGAGGAGATGTTCCTTTGATGAAAAAGGCCTTTCCCTTTAGCAGTCAGACTGACATTCAATTTTGCAGCAGCAGAACCAACTGTAGTAGGTATAGTGCTTGTGGAGGGGGCTTGCTCTCAGTCTCATTTCCTGGAAGGTAAGGTTTTCTTCCTTTAATGTAAATTTTATTGAAAGATGACATACACTCAGAAAAAAGTACACAAATTGTAAGTATACAGCTAGATTAATTTTTACACAGTGAACACAAGGGATATAAAGTTTTTAAACTTACATGCTCAGAATCACCTGGAGTTTTTGTTAAAAAATAAAGCTTTCCAGCCCTAGCTGGTTTGGCTTAGTGGTTAGAGCATCAGCCCATGGACTGAAGGGTCCCGGGTTCTATTTAGGCCAAGGGCACATACCTCAGTTGCAGGCTCCATCCCTGACCCCGGATGGGGTTCATGGGAAAGGCAACCAATCAATGTGTCTCTCTCCCATCGATGTTTCTCTTTCTTTCTCTCTCTTTCTCTCTCACTTCCACTCTCTCTGAAAAGCAATGGAAAAAATATATTCTCTGGTGAGGATTAAATAAATAGATAAATAAATGAAGCTTTCCAGCCCTGGCCAGTGTAGCTTGGTTGGAGCATTATCCTGTACACCGAAAGGTCTAGGTTCGTTCCCTGGTTGGGGTGCATAAGGAGGCAACCAACCGATGTTTCTCTCTCACATTGATGTCTCTCTCCTTTTCCATTCCTCTCTCTCTAAAATCAGCGAGGATATATTCTTGGGTGAGGATTAAATATTTTTTAAAAAGAAAAAAAAACGAAGCTTTCCAGACTTACGTCCAGGATTTCTGGGGCCTAGAAACTTATATTTTAAGCACTGCAGATTGTTCAGACCCCAGTGATCCGTGGACCACACTTTGAGTGTTCTGATATGAGGATTAAGATGAGCAAGAAGACGTTCACAAAGACCTGTCTCTGCTTTTCCCCAGGGAGAACCTTCCTAGCCGCTTCAAGTTTAAGGAGTACTGCCCCATGGTGTTTCGGAATCTTCGGGAAAGATTTGGGATTGACGATCAGGATTACCAGGTATGGGTGTCTTTGCAAAATCGAAAGGATTAGCAAGTGGAGTGGGGTCAGGAAGCCACAGGACAAGTAGAGAAAAAAGTGTCTACTGTTCCCTTGCTGTGTCTTCCTGTCATTTTTCTCCCCAGCCCAGGCAGTCTTTTCTTCTGTGTTGGTGGGCTCTTGGAGGGGTGAGGGCCTTAGAAGTGCTTCTTATGATGCCTCAGCTCAGGCTCAGGCTCCTCTCCCTGGGAGGGAGAGCGGGGGGAGGGAGAGGGTCTACGGAAGCTGCTTCATTTTAGTCTGACATTCCCAGTCTAGACTGAAGAACCCTTCTCCTTTGTAATTTGACTTAAAAGAGAGAGAATTGTTGTCAGCAGGAGATGAGGCCTCATAAAGCAGATAAGACAGATTAGAAGAGGAAGACTTCCAGGGTAGTGTAACCTCTTACCAGGTATGAGTGCCACCTCTTAAACTTGTCCCCTGTCCTGATTTTGGGAGGGCGCTAGGCATGGCAGGAAACTGTCCTTCATGGGATGATAGTCATAGAGGGAGGACTGTGTCCTATTGGGAGGAATGAATCCCAATATCAGGGACATTATAGTCTGACTTAGAGTCTACGGTTCTTGTTACTTTTAGCACCTTCCCTGGACCTTCTTCCCTTGGCAGACAGCCTGGTGGTGAAAGTGGGAGAACCTGCCACTTCACCTTTGTGGCAGTAAGAAGTGTAGCTAACTTTCCATTATCTGTGGGGAAGACAAGTATACAGCCTAGCGAAATCTGTATGCCCCAGCCTTTTACAACATTGTGATTCCTCCACCCCACTCCCAGTAAGCCTTTCCCAGAGTAGTTCGCGATGAGCAGATGGGGTGAGGCTCCCTCCCTTCTCTCCTCCACTCTGGAAGGCCTCCTGCAAAGATGTGTGTCCTGAAGAGGAGGGTGAGAGGACGTGAGAGGAGGAGATGCCAGGGACTTGGACGAGCAGGAATGTCTAAGAGGTTCTGGGAGGTCCTTCCAGCTTCCTCTGTTAGGACCAAATCCTAAATGAAATCATGACCTGATTGGAGCCTGAGACTTTCTAACAACTTCTTGCCATTGTTGCAATCCCAGGTAACCTGCTCAGACTTCTTCCTTCCACTCTGGTTCCTTCCCCTCCCCTTGGCCATCTAACCACATCCTCTCAGTGTCTGCATTTTTTCTCTAATAACTTTGTGGGCAAATGATTGTGCTAAAGACTGAAATAGGGGCAGGGAGGATGGTGTTCAGGGAGGGGACTCTCCACTCTTGGACTACCAGTGATTTAGAGTCAGAAAATGCTGCCTGAAAATGAGGCAGGGATAGAACTCGACTTCCCACTGTGCTTGAGGCCTTTAAATCTTTCTGGTAGAAGGACCAGGCTGGGAGAGTGAGGCCCTTAGTCATGTGGCCTACTCAACATTTCTAGACTGGAGACACCCTGTTTTTGGGGGTGTTCCTTTAGTTTAGAGAGCCCGTCAGCACTTCAGACTTTAGTTTCCCCCATGAAGGTAGTGCTCCCTTCTTTTGAGGAGGCATTAGGTGAAGGTAAAGAGTCAGGTCCTAGGTAGGAGACGAGGAAAGGGCTTAGAGAGGAGACATTTCTGTGAGCAGATCACCACATGTTTTCTTGGGATCTCCCTCCTTGCCTTCCCTCTCAAAGTTCTTCTCCTGGGGTCTTTTTGGTGAACACATCCCTTTGGTTGACTCACCTTCCCCTACCCCTCCTCTTGAGGCTTCTACAGCTCTCTGATCCTAAAGGGAATGGGGTCTCGAGGAGGAGCAGGGACAGAACCAGAAAAGCCCCCCAGCCCTACACAGATTAGCAGGAGTTTGAGGTGAAGGGAGAGGTGTTGGGCAGAGAGGTGAGGACCAACTTCCTGCTTTGGGAAGTGTTTTCTAGCATTAGTACATACAGGGAAAAGAGACAACTGTACCCATCGCTTATTTATGCAAGACTTCTTGAATACTTAGCCAGGCTTTGTTTTTGTCATCCCAAAAGATTAGGAAAATTACCTCACTCTGCCTCCTTGTGTTCCAGGTGAGGAAACTGAGAAGTTAAATGGCTCACCCAAGGGTCATGTCACATGCGAGTGGCAGGATTAGAACCCAGTTCCATAACATCAGAGGTAGCTGTCTGAGATTGGAATGAAAGGAAAAATTTCACAGTAAATCCTCTTCCCAGCCCAATCAAGAATTGGGGTCAACTCTTGTCACTCTTAAGGAAGACTTTTGGGAGAGATATGAACTTCCCCCGAGAAAAGGGGGTGGGTAAGATCCCATCTGTGTCAGTGTCCTTGGCTTTAGAACAGTCCGGCCCAAACAGAAGACTCAGAGTAAAAGTCAGAGCCCTGTTCCCCTCCCAAGACCAGCTCTCTTTTGTCTTGGTCCATCAGAATTCAGTGACGCGCAGCGCCCCTATCAACAGTGACAGCCAGGGCCGATGTGGCACACGTTTCCTCACCACCTATGACCGGCGCTTTGTCATCAAGACTGTGTCAAGTGAGGATGTGGCTGAGATGCACAACATCTTAAAGAAGTACCACCAGGTATGGTGAGTCCCGAGCCTGGACAATAGAGGGTGGGGTGGAAGATGGAGGAGAGAGCCCCTGGGGAGCTTCTTGGAGAGCGATTGGTTCTCTGGTAATGGTAGGTGCCTCCTGATAACCAAGCACTCGGCCCTCCCTTGGTTCCACGTTTCTGCGAGGAGAAATGCCTATTTGAAAAAAATGTAAAAGAAAAAACTGCCCTAGCCAGTTTGGCTCAGTGGTTAGAGCATCAGCCTGCAGACTGAAGGGTCCCAGGTTCGATTCCGGCCAAGGTTGCAGGCTTGGCCCCAGTTGGGGCACGTGGGGGAGTCAACCAATCAATGTGTCTCATTCACATTGATGTTTCTCTCTCACTCTCTCCGAAAAACAGTGAAAAAATATCCTTGGGTGAGGATTTTAAAAAAAAAAGAGATAAATCTTATGGTATGTGAATTAATGTCTCAATAAAACTGTTAAGAATTAAAAAAGAAAAAGAAAAAGAAGGCATGTTACTGACTGTCCCAGTTGAACAGCTGTTTCTTGCCAGAGTTGGGAAGTTTTCACACCCTGGCACCTGCCTCATTTCTTCTAAAAGAGATCCTGTTGGCTCAGCAGGGTTGCTTTTCTTCCCATTCCTACTCCCCACTTATCTGGAACCCATCCATAAGAAAAGCAGGGAGTGCAGTGGTATTATCTGAGTGCCTGTCCCAAGCCTGCTTGTGTCTTCAGGGAAAGCTGGCTGCTCTCTGGGGCACCTGAGAAGTGGTGAAAGGGACTTCTGGTCTTTTGGGAATAACAGCAGAAAACCCTGGTGCATGGCATGGGCAAGTGCTTGTGTTATGGAGCCATTCTGTTTCCCCAGACCAGATCACAACCCTGCCTCTGCAGCCCCCCTCTGCCTTGTGGCTTTCCCATTTCAGGCCACAGAGGAGATGCAAGGCCTAGATTAGTGATTTTCCTATGGTGGAACCCCAATAATATGAAACCAAAGGGCTCTGCACTGTCTGCTCAGCCTTTCACTCTGTTACACCAGCTGGGGGCAGGGTGGCTATTGTCTATTGTAAGTCTGAGGAACCCCGTGACTTCACATAACCCAATTTAGAATCCCAGGCAGGGAGTGTTGTAGCCTGGGGAGAGCCCTGTCCCTCTTGGCACCTTCATATGTTCCTGAGCCTTCCTCCTTTCCTTTCTAGTTCATAGTGGAGTGTCACGGCAACACCCTTTTGCCACAGTTCCTGGGCATGTACCGCCTGACTGTGGATGGTGTGGAAACCTACATGGTGGTCACCAGGAATGTGTTCAGCCATCGGCTCACTGTACACCGCAAGTATGACCTCAAGGTAAAGGGCTCTGTGCTTCCCAGCTCTGTGGCTTCTTTCTCCCCAAGGCTCGAAAGGGCCATGACTCCAACTGCCACCTAATGGGAAAGCCAGAACATATGTTTGGCATGAGCAGGTGGCTCTGAAGTTGATGTGTCTTGTGGGCCAGAGGCTTTTGAAGTCCAGGTGACAGTGACAGGAGGTTATTTAAGCCCCCAAGTTACCATATTTGTGTAACAATTGATGCTCTTTGACTCCTGTCAGTGGGATATACACAGTAAGGTCAGCAGTATGGGACAGGCTGTTCTGAAGCACACCCTCTGGCATCTGTCCAGGCTCCCTGGACTGACAGCACAAGTGCATTTCTAGACACTGAGAAGAACACACTCGTGTCTGTGAACCACAATACTCTGCTGTTCTTAAATCCCCCTTCCTGACTTCAGCAGTTACCTCACACCACTGTCCTCCCTCTGCTGCAGCTGCACTGGTTTCCCGTCCATTCCTGCAGGGTCTGTGCTCTCCTCCTCCCCAAGATCTCACACAGGCTGCCTGGAACGATTTCCCTCCCTGTCCTTTTCTCTACTTCCACCTTCCCCCACCTAATTACTTCCTACCTATCCTTCTGAGCTTAGCTCAGATACAGCTTGTTCCTGGAAGCAGGCCTTGGCCACTGCCCGTCTCCAATACAGGCCTCTCCCCTGTGTTTAGTTCCTCAGAGTATCCTGTCTCCTTTCCTGTACCCCTTAGCACCATTGTGGTTAATGGATTAATTAATTGTGTAACTACTGCTTAGTGCCCGTCTCCCCTGTTAGAAGGAAAGTTCCCTACGGGCAGGAATTGAGTTTCTTGGTACAGTCATGTTTCCTGAGCGTGTATCTTGTACATAGTCAAAGCTCTGTAAACGGTCTGTGACAGAGGAAGTGAACAAGTTACTGCCTCCCGGCCCCTCTAGGATTCTAACCAGCCTACTTCAGTTCACCTGCTGCCTCTCCCCAAAGACTGGTGCATGTTTTCTCACTCAACGGAATTTGCCTCAGCTGGACTTCTTCTGATGGCTCTTATCCTTTCAGGGTTCTACTGTTGCCAGAGAAGCGAGTGACAAAGAGAAGGTATGCTGGGACCAGTGCTGATCAAATGTGGAATGGGTTGCTTGGAATATGAAACACCTATTGGCCATCCTGTCCCTTCCTCCATCACAGCTCCTAGTCCAGTTCCCAGATGTGCAGTCTGTCAGTGCTCTGTCACTAAGCACCCACGTAGCCTCAGCCTTAGTCTCTAGCCTTTCACCTCTGCCCTAGAGGGCTGGCAGAATCCATGTCATGGTACAGCTTGAATCAGCAAGTGGCTGCCTGAGCCCTGAGGGTAGTCCAGGCTCAGCAGGAAGGCATGCTTTGGTCAGTCCTCATTGTCTGACATAGGCCACACATTTGCCATCCCTGTCTGCCTGAAGCCTGGGACTGTAGCCGCCTGTGCTGAGCTGTTGATTTGACAGGCTGACCATCTGTGTTCTAAAGACCCTTCCCTTTCCTGTGCGGTTGCCCCCAGCAGGGATCCTTGGGGTGAATGAATCAGGCTACCCAGCTAACACTGCTATTGTTCTCCCAGGCCAAGGACTTGCCAACATTTAAAGACAACGACTTCCTCAACGAAGGGCAGAAGCTGCATGTGGGAGAGGAGAGTAAAAAGAACTTCCTGGAAAAACTGAAACGGGATGTAGAGGTACTTACCAACCTCGTTTGCAGCTTAGAACCTTGGTAACTAGTTTGGAATGCTTTCCCTAATCTGTTCCAACACCCTTTTCAAACTCCCCTTCAGAATTCCTTTCTGGTGTTTCCCATAGTGGAGGGGACATCCAGCCATCAGAATGGCAGGAAGGAAACCAGCTAGTAAGATCCACCAGCCATGCCTTTTACTGGCGGTGATTCTCCACTTACCTAGAAACCTTCTGATTGGAATGGGACTTCCTGTGGAGAAGCTCCTCCTCCGAGAACAGGTGTTAAATAGTGAATGTGATATCTGGGCCACCTGATAACTCAGTATCTCCTTCTATTTAAATAAATTGGGAGCTGCCAGGCTGGCGTGGCTCAGGGGTTGAGCATCAACCTATGATCTAGGAGATCACAGTTTGATTCCCTGTCAGGGCACATGCCCTGATTGTGGGCTCCATCCCCCAGTAGGGGGACTGTAGGAGGCAGCCGATCAATGACTCTCTCATTATTGATGTTTCTATTTCTCTCTCCCTTTCCCTTCCTCTCTGAAATCAATAAAAACATTATAAATAAATACGGAGCCTGCTTATTAAAACCAAACCCTATATATTTGTAAAAATTATTATTTTTTTATTATGGTAAAATAGGCGTAATATAAAATTTATCATCTTAACCATTTTTTTTTTTTAATCCTCACTTAAGGATCTTTTTTCCATTGCTTTTCAGAGAGAGTGGAAGAGAGAGAGAGATCGACTGGTTGCCTCCTGCATGTGCCCTGACCAGGGTTGGGGATTGAGCCTTCAACCGAAGTATGTGCCCTTGGCTGGAATCGAACCCAGGACCCTTCAGTCCAAGGGCTGACGCTCTAACCACTGAGCAAAACCAGCCAGGGCTCATCTTAACCATTTTTAAGTGTACATTTCCTTGCCATTAAGTGCATTCACATTGTTGTGCAACCATCACCACCATCCATCTCCAGAACTTTTTCTTCTTCCCAAACTTAAAACTCTATACCCATTAAACATTAATTCCTCATTCCCCCTGCTCCCTAGCCCCTGGCAATCACTATCCTTTCTATCTCTATGAAATTGATCTCTCTAGGAACCTCATATGGATGGAGTCGTGCAGTATTTGCTCTTTTTCTTTTTCTTTTCCAATTTATTTATTCATTCTTTATTGATTTCAGAGAGAGAAAGGGAGGAGGAGAGAGAGAGTTGAAACATCAATGATTAGAGAGTTGTCCTTGATCAGCTGTGAGCCCACAACCTGGGCATGTGCCCTGACCAGGAATCGAATTGCGATCTCCTGGATCCTCGGTCGATGCTCAACCACTGAGCCACTCCTGGCTGGGCCAGTGTTTGCTCTTTATGAGAGCTTAGTTCACTTACCATGATGTCTTAAAGGTTCATCCATGTTGTAGCATGTGTCAGAATGGCCTTTTTTTTTTTTTTAATTCTCACTGAAGGATATTTTTCCATCAGTTTTTATAGTAGAAGGGGTAGAGGGAGGAGGAGAGAAAGGGAAAAAGAAATGTCCATGTGATACAGACGCATCGATTGGTTGCCTCTCGCATGTGCCCTGACCAGGGCCAGGGATTGAAACTGCAACCCAGGTACGTGTCCTTGATCAGGTATTGAATCCATGACCCTTTAGTACAAGGGCTGACACTCTAACCACTTAGCCACATCAGCCAGGGCAGAACGGTCTTCCTTTTTAAGGCTGAGTAATATTCCATTGTGTGTGTACTGACAGCACAAGTGCATTTTGTTTACCTATTCATCCACCAGTGGACATTTGGTATATTAGTTAAGAGTCTCCAGAGAAACAGAACCAATAGGGTATAAATAGATAGATGATAGATGATGGTAGATGATAGATAGATAGATAGATAGATAGATAGATAGATAGATAGATAGATAGATAGATTGACAGATGGATAGATGTTTATTATAAGGAATTGGCTCACATGATTACGGAGGCTGACAAATCCCAACACCTACAGTTGGCAGGCTGGAGACCCAGGAGAGCTGATGGTATAGTTTTAGTCCAGAGGCCAGCAGGCTCGAGACCCAGAAAGAGTGGATGTTTCAGTCCGCATCTGAAGAGAGGAAGAAACTGATGTCCCGGCCCAGAGGCAGGTAGGCAGGCAGGTAGAGGAAGTTCCCTTTTACTCACTGGAGGATCAGCCTTTTTGTTTTGTTCAGGCCTCATGCCCACCCAATTAGGGAAGGCAATGTGCTTTACTCACTTTACAGATTCAAGTGTCAATTCATCCATAAGCGCTGTCACAGACACACTCAGAATAATGTTTGGCCAAATGTCTGGGCACCTAGTGGCCCAGTCAAGTTGACACATATTATTAAACATCACACTTGAGTTGCTTCATTGTGACTGATGCTGCTACAAACTTCTTTTTGGTGGGAAGCTTTTCCTTAATCATTCCCTACTATGTTTATTCTTTATTCTGATGTTCAGTTTGTTCAGTCTTTCTCCTCCCTTTCCTGCTTTTCTCCCTACTCTGCTTCTAAGAAGAATTTAAGGCAGTTTACACAGTTCATTTGTTTTCACTTACATGTTGCTTTATAAATGTTCTCAGATGCATAGGAGGGGGTGTGCTTCAGGGACTCTCTCTTCTGAGATCCCAGCCCCTTCTCCCTAGGCCTTGAGGAGGCTTTGTCCAGAGGTGTTTGGAATGGTCCCTCCAACCTTTCTCTACCTCGGAGATTCTGCTGACCTCCTGTCATTGGGGCTTCTTGTGCTTTTAGTTGTTTTCTGGGCCTGTGTGCAGAGCCTCTCTGGTCCTATTATAATTCTCCTCCTAGTTCCGTAGTCACAGTGGTCAGTTGGTTTCAAGGTGCTGCAGGCTCAATTTGTGACTGTGGCAGGATGCCTGGCATGTGGCTGCTGGTGGCTACTGGCTAGTTCCTGGAGGATATGGACCAGTAACTCTGGCCTCACTATTAGCCAGACTGGAATGCTGGCTTGGCATTTCTATCCCGTATCATTCCCACACTGTTCTTCTCCGAATCATGGGTTCCTAGATCAGGAGACCTGAGATACTTTTCTATTCACAACACTCATTATATAGATGAGAAAGTGAGGTTTGGCGAGGGGAAGCCACAAGTGCAAGGGGAGGACTCCAGCATTCTCCCCCTGTACCACACAGCCTCTGTTGACCTTGAGGGAAGAGTTGAGAATGTTGGTTGGCTCTGTCATTCTTATATCATGTTTCTCTTTCTTTTTTCCCCCATTTTTACACTGAATGGCAAAGCAGCTGAATTGCAAAGTTTTTCAAACTTTGCCTATTACCCCCAGTTAGAAGTACATTTTACCTTGCAACCCAACACACACACACACACACGCACACGCAAAATGAAATACTATCTACCTTTACTTCACGTTATGTACTGTTTTTTTCTTTTTAAAATATGTTTTTATTGATTTCAGAGAGAGAAAGGGAGAGGGAGAGAGAGATAGAAACATCAATGATAAGTCATTGATCGGTTGCCTCCCACACGCCCCCTACTGGGGATCAAGTGGGCAACCCGGGCATGTGCCCTGACCGGGAATCGAACCTTGATCTCCTGGATCATAGGTCAATGCTCAACTGCTGAGCCACACTGTCCAGGCTATGTTCTCTATTTTGCATTCTATTATTTAAACTTTTTTATTTATTGATTTTAGGTAGAGGGAAGGAGGGAGGGAGAGAGGGAGAGAAACATCGATTTATTGTTTCACTTATTTATGCATTCATTAGTTGCTTCTTTTATGTGCCCTGACTGAGGAGCAAACCAGCAACCTTGGCAAATTGGGATGACGCTCTAACTAACTGAGCTACCCAGCCAGGGCTTTTTTTTCTATTTTATAGTATTTAATAGTAATTAAAGAAATCCTAGTCCCAGCCCACTAAATTGGATTTGGGACTCATAATGGATTGAGATTCATGGTGTGAAAGACACTGCTATGTTGCATCCATCTCTCTAGCCTCTTGCACAGTACAGCATTCCGTTACGTCTTTCCTCAAACTTGCCATGGCCTCTCTCGGTCCCAGAATGTATGACTATCCCCTCTTCCTGCAGTGCTCATTCTGCCTTTCCTTCTGCAGCCTCTGCGCAGCGGACTCCTCTTCATCCGTCAGGCTCAGTCTCAACCCTTTCCTAGGGAGGCCTCCCTCCCGGCTGCTCTGGACTCCTGCAGCTCCTTGCCCTTGTGGAATGACTGTCTTCCCCATTAGACGTTGCGCTCATTGAGGGCAGAGACTCTGATGTCTTATTCTCTGTTGTGTTTCTGAATTGGAGAACTGAGTTGAAAGGAATGCCTTTTCTCCCCTTTCCAGATGCCACTGGGATGTCCTGTATAACCTCTTCCTTCCGTCTCTTCTTCCCCAAGTTTCTGGCCCAGCTGAAGATCATGGACTACAGTCTGCTGGTGGGCATCCATGATGTGGACCGGGCAGAGCAGGAGGAGATGGAGGTGGAAGAGCGGGCAGAGGACGAGGAATGTGAGAATGACGGGATGGGCGGCAACCTGCTCTGCTCCTATGGCACACCTCCGGACAGCCCTGGCAACCTCCTCAGCTTTCCTCGGTTCTTTGGTCCTGGGGAATTCGACCCCTCTGTTGATGTTTATGCCATGAAAAGCCATGAAAGTAAGTAGGAGCCTCTGCCTGTCCTGCCCATCTCTGGCCCCCATCCTACCTACCGCAGGCCCATTTTTTAGATGTCTCTGTGGGTATCTGGACCTCTACCTCATTAATTTCTGACTTTGGCCTCTTTCTACCTTCAGGCTCCCATACTGAGTCATCACCAGTAACTCTGTCTTCTGGGCCCTGGGTTCCTTCTCCATTAGCCTTTCTTCCCCTTTCTGTTTGTCCTGGATGTTTGAGGCATGGTTCTCTGGTTTGTGGGATAGGCAAAACTTTATAAATACTCTCATATTAATCCCACAGGGAGCTGTGAAGATCAAATAAAATAAGAGCTATAAGGCCCTGGCCAGTATGGCTCAGTTGGTTGGAGCATTGTCATGTACACCAGAAGGTAGCGGGTTCAATTCCTGGTCAGGGCACATTCCCAGGTTGGGGGTTCAATCCCCAGTCAGACAGCCTATTGATGTTTCTCTCTCTCCTCTCACATTGATATTTCTCTTTCCTGAACTCTCTCTGGAATCAGTTAAAAAAACACAAAAACTATGAAAGCTTCGGAGAAGGACTCTATTAATCATTTCTTTTTCTCAGATCCAAAATGATAGGGATCAATCTGGATTTCAAATCTGAGGGGTTATGGACCCAGCTATTTTCTGCTCTTCCCCCATCACCTCTTTCTCTTTGCCTATTTCCCCTCCAGGTGCCCCCAAGAAGGAGGTCTATTTCATGGCCATCATTGATATCCTCACACCATATGATGCTAAGAAGAAAGCTGCACATGCTGCCAAAACAGTGAAACATGGGGTGAGTTCTCCCGTTCTTCAGCCAGGACCAGCGGGTGGGCCCTCAAACTCTCAGGCCTCCTGCTTTAAGCCTGCCTGGTTGCCTGGTGTTCACTCTCCACCATCTATATTCCACCCCTGGGTATATGCCCAACTTGTTTTTTCCTTTGTTCTCTGGCCCTTGGGACTCTGAGCCCACTGGAGCCTCTCCCCAGGGCTGCTGGGCATGTGGTACATCTTGTTGATCGCCAGTAATAGCTTTGTTTACATGTCCACAGTGCTCCCCAGAGGCCCATTTCCCCATAGACTTCAAGCTACTGTTCTCCAAACAACGGCTCCCACAGAAATCCTGAGTCTCTCTGCTATCCCCCCACCACTTGCCTCTTCTTCAGTGGGTACATCCCTGGGGTTATGAATCAGAGGAGGGGGCCAGGGCAATTCTGAGACATAGCTGCCTCTTCTTGAGGTGGCCTGCCCAGTCTGAGGGGTTATATTTAGCTCTAGTGCTGATCCAGAGGCTCCTGAACGCCCAGGCTCCTCCCAGGTGCAGCCTGCTGATGAGGGCCAAGGAGCTGGACCTGAATCAGCCTCTGTATTACAGGCGGGGGCCGAGATCTCAACTGTGAACCCTGAGCAGTACTCCAAACGCTTCAACGAGTTCATGTCCAACATCCTGACGTAGTGACCTTCTACCTTCAGCCACAGCCAAGAATGAGATATGGGGTTGGGGATTGGAAGGGGGAGAGGGTGTATTTGGGCTAGATGGGAGGGGTGGGAGCACAGTGGGGGGTCAGGGAGGCCTTTAGCAGTGAGACTACAGCCTGTGACACTGAAAGGGATTCTAGGGAGGAGGGGATGTGCTGTGTGTGCAGGTGCTCACAGGATGTAGCCTCACCTTCTTACCTTTGATTCCCACCCCCCCATTTGACCCAGGTTTAAAAAGGGTTTCCTTTTTGTTACCTTGTAGCCTTTTAAAATACCTTGAGGCTAGAGGTGACTGTGGGTTTATTTGGGTTTTTCTGAAATTTCATTGCTCCACGTTTGCTGTTTATAATGATGTATGTCATCACCCTATCCACCTTCCCCATCCCTACCCTAGTTCCCTTGGATTTATAGAGGCACCCCATAGACCCAGCCAAGGGTCCTCTCAGAGCCAAGTGCTCTGGCACCAGAGGAGAGGAGGTCAGATACCTCATCCCTGCTGGATTAACTTTTTAATTTCATGAAGTATTGTGTACAACTTTACCTTTCCTCCTTGGATCCAAGTGATTCCTGCATCTAAATGCTGTCCTCCTGAAGGAACACTCCAGATCAACGTCAGTCATCTTGGATCAGAATCAAAGATCTCAGAGGGGAGTGAGTTCATCCTCATGGGATGGTGAGGGTGACGGTTGCTGCTGGCCTCTCGGAGAGCTGGTTCTCAGAGAGCTCGTGATCATTACTCAAGCCCCAGGGCTCTCTCGGGCTCTGGAGTTCAGATGTATTCTCTATAAAGCCTGCCTCCCACTTGGTCAAGAGAAACTAGGAAGGACCCTGTGCTTAAGTGATATTTTTCCCCCTTGGAGAAACCCCAGAAGCTGATGAGTATCAAATGAGGGCTTGTGCCCTCCATCCATTTACTTCCTTCTGACCTTTTCCCAGGCACCTTCACTTGTAGGTGAGCTTTTAGCTGAGGGCAGATCTCCAGGTGCCTGGGGTGCTCCTTGCAGAGATTCCTCTTCAAGCCCCAGGGCTACCATGCCGATAATCTGACTCCCTGTGCCTGTGGTTTGTCACCTGGACATTATGGGTTATGGCCGGCAGGGAGTGATGCCTCCCACCTTGGAGTGTGGTGCCCAAGCCTGAGGTCGTTTCTGGATCACTTGACGATGTGACTCAGGAAATCAAATCTGGAGGCTTGAGGTGGAATTGGACCTGGACTCAGCCTTGGGGCTGTTTTTCCTTGATGTCCCCATCTAGACTTTTAACAGATCTGCCACCTACAGGCTTCCTCAGGAGTGGCATCCTGCCCCTTCCTTCAGGATCTCCACCCACCTTCTGAGCCTTGCTATCCAGGCCTCAGAATTGAACTGTGTGTCATTCTGTGATAACATCAGAGCAGCCTGGTCTGTGATGAGAAAACAGCCCTGTGTTGGTGGAGGTACATTCCTGTATCTTCTCAACCTTTTACCAGTAACTGGTGATTGCAGATGAGATATGGTAAAACATGTAGGTAACTCCACAGATGCGAAGAAAGTTTGTGGAAGCATTTTGAATGAATGGATTGGATTCTTGTGGCTCCTCCAAACATGGCCAAACTCAGCTTCTGGAGCAGGAACCAGCATGGTCTCTGTGCCCTACTCACAGCATTTAGGTCAGGAGGGAATGGAGACAGCATTCTTGGACTCCTCTGGGACTGCTGGGACCCTTCTAGAAGAGGCAGATGGGTCAAACAACTGCCCTGGCCCCAGGAAGAGGCCATAGGTAACTGAACATCAGCAGTAAGACCATGAGGTGACTTGAGGAAGGACTTGAAACCAAGAGGCTCATGGAGAAAACAAAACTGACTTAGGAAGGGGTTATATAGGAATAATGTTTGGACTTGATTTCTCCACCTTCTAATCAAGAATAAAAATTTGGATCTGCTCATAGTCAGGCCAGCATCTCCAAAGGTTGGCAGGCTGTCCTCCGGCAGCCTCCACAGCCTTGGACTCCCACCGGCTCCCTGCATTTGGTCTGATCATGTTGCCATTAATGTGTATGAAACGTGTAACAATCCTATCAGTTGAAGATGAGCTACCAGGTATCTGACTTGTTTAACATTGAGTTTTTGTGATTTTGTGGAGTTTATTTTTTTGTATATTGTTTACATTTTGAGAGGTAGCATTCTGTTTCAAATGCTCTTTTGTGTTTCTGACAGTGTTGTTGATTGGGTTGGAACATTTGAGCTGTGGTTTGGTGAACTTTAGATTTTTTTTAAAAGGTCATTCTGTGCTATTTTCAAAACCTTGGGTTTGGCCCTCTAATTCTTTTGGCATTCAGATGTTTAAAAGCTATTTATCTGGGTTTATACAGGTTTTCTTTCTCTCCTTTTTATAATGATGAAGATATATTTGGTTTGCAGTCTGAATGTAAAGAAGGTGAACTGACCCCCACACTTTCGTCTGCCCCCACTTCCCCTCCCCAAATTTTACCATTCCCTTTCTGAGCAGTAGAAGGCATCCGAGGGGAAGTAGCTACCCTCAACCTCACTCTTTGGAGCCATGAAACTCAGCTGCCTGATGGCATCCTAGAATGATTTTGGGTCTCCCAAGAACAAAGGAATAAGAATAGGACATGGCTGACTGGGTGAGGTCTGGAGGAGCTAAGGGCAGGATTTGTCTACCAGTCCCTCTCATCCTGCTCCTGTTCTGAAAGTCTATAGACAGGAGACTATAGTCTCCTAGGTTTCCCAGCCAAAGCGAGGGGTTGACTGAAAACTCCACTGAGACTACTAGATGGAGGCCTGTGGCCCTTGTTCCTGTTCATGAACCACTGAGTCTTATCCTCCCAGTGGGAGCTCCTTCTGTGTGCCCCACAGTGGGGGTTAGGGGGCAGGGTTGGGAAGCCAGCAGTTCCAGGAGCACAAACTGAAGTGCTCCATCTCCCCTTATCTTGCTCAGGAGCTACTGGTCTGTGGCAGGTGCCACAAGTCACCCCTGTGGCTATTCTCAGTGCACTCCCTAAATTCCCACCACAGGCAGTTCTTCCTACTTCACTTCTTTCTCTTGCCTGTGCTTTAGGCCTCAAGCAGGTCCCCTGGTAGTACTCAGGGCTTGGGACTACAGATCCTGCCCTGGGGAGGTGAACCAAAGACCCAGGGCTTTTCTCAGTAGCCAGTCCCACCCCCAATTGTCTTTTTACCAGTTCAAGTTGGAGAAAAAACTTCAGCACTGCCCAGCATTTGAGCTACTCAAGTGTCAGGGGCCGGAAGTATTTAAACAATCCTTAGAGCTCTGGCCTTAGATCTGTGGCTCCAAGTCTAGGGACCTCACCCCTTCTGGCAGAAATGTGTGGAGGGGGCATCCACTCTGAGCACAGGAATCAAAGGGAAAACACATTCAAATAACTGCCCCTAAACATACCAGCCATCTGCAGGGGGCAGTCACAGGGCCCTAGCCTTCCTCTGAGAAGTGCCACTTACAAAGAGTGCCTCCAAAGGGAAGAGGAGACTCAGCTCTCCCAGTGGGTTGTGCTGAGATCCTCGGAGGCTGGAGAGGAATCTTCCAGAGGAGCCCCTTCCCCTTGCTCAGGAGGAAGAAGGAACCAACCACCTTTGGGGGAAGGCCTGGTGCTGCTCAGCACACCCAAGCATCAGGTCAGGTCATTATAATTAAAAAATGTGAATTAAGTATAGATTCAATTTTGGGGGAAGCAGGATAAACTTTCACCCCACCATGTGTGACTTCTCCATTTCCCACTGCAATTTCCATTTTTTAAATAGGAATTTTTAGCCCCGTGCTTGTCTAATGTCTGCTCGGAACAGTTCGAGACCCTGTTACTGTTTTAAAATGCATGCGTGTTAAGATGAATCTTCAACCCGAGGAAAATAAAACTCAAAAAGCTTTGTGTACACATCTGTTATGTGTGAGTTCCCGGGAAGTGATCCTTTCATTTACTTTTTTCAAAGTTAAAAGGTTTTGGTCCCAGTGTTAGAGGCTGCTTGGGCTAAATCAATGTATGGCTTGAGTTTGGAGAGAGACTTGACTCTGGTTACCTACTTTCAGATGTGGTTAATAAGCATGGTTAAGAGCAAGGCACTGGAGCTGGTCTGTCAGTTGTTGTTACCCTGCACAATGAGGAATGGACAACCCACCCACCCCTTGCTTCTCCAGGTGTGTAGAAACAACACTGGCCAGGAGGCCACCCGCTACACACCTAACACACTTGCTCTCCCTTGACTGGCGAAAAGGCTTAAAATCTAATGGTTCTCAAAGTGGGGTTCTAGACCAGCAGTATTAGCAGCATCTGGGAACCAGAAATATAAATTATCAGGTTCCTCTGCAGATCTGATTCAGAAACTTTTAACAAGCCTTCCAGGGGATCCTGATGGAAGCTAAAGTTTGGGAACCACTATGCTATACAAATAAGCTCACTTGCTTATTTAGGCATGTACTACGGGTTGTAAAGTAGAAGATTTGGGGGAGGGGCTTTTAAAAATATATATATTTTTTATTGATTTCAGAGAGGAAGGGGGAGGAAGAGAGAGAGAGAAACATCAATGATAAATAGTAATTGGTTGGCTGCCTCCTGCATGCCCCTGACTGGGCATCAAGCCTGCAACCTGGGCATGTGCCCCGACCAGGAATCAAACCTCAACCTCCTGGATCCTAGGTTGATGCTCAACTGCTGAGCCATTTGTGGAATTTTCAGAAAAGACACGTGCTCAGACCTCTTTAAAAGGCCAATTAAGGCCCAACCAGGCGTGGCTCAGCGGTTGAGCATCAACCTAGGATCCAGGAAACAGGTTCGATTCCTGGTCAGGGCACATGCCCGGGTTGCGGGCTTGATACCCAGTCGGGGGCCTGCAGGAGGCAGCCAATCAATGATTCTCTCATCATTGATGTTTCTCTCTCTCTCTTCCTCCCCCTTCCTCTCTGAAATCAATAAGGATATATTAAAAACCCCCACAAACGGCCAATTAAGAATCTTGAGGGATGGGATCAAAGTATCTGCTTTAGAAGCTCCCCAGGTGACTAATGTGCAGCCAAGGTCAAGAAACACTGATCTACAGGATATTACTTGTGGGTACTTGGCCAAATTTCTACCTGAAACAATGAAAGATTTAAGGATTTTCTAGTACAGTTGAGTGAAAAGGATTCTAGGCTTTGAAGTCAAGCCTTCCAGGTGCTCTTTGCAGTGTCACTTACTACAGTGACCCTGAGCAAGGCATTTAACTGCCCTTAAATGAGGGTAATGTCATCAACTGCTCTAAGTCATTACAATGATTAAAGCCCAAAACCTGTAAAGCCCAGAACCTGTAAAGCGCTTTGTGCAGGGCCTAACACATAGCACAGGCACTCAAATGATGTGTGCACATCCCCACTGGTACCAGGGGGATGCTGCAAGTCAAAACCACCGGAGGGCTGAGCTTTATCTACCCTGAGTAGCTATTTGTAACTGCCCAGCTGGGGACAGAGATCTGTGGTAAAAGACACAAAGAAGCAGGAGTGAAAGAAAATCTTTTATTAAAAAAACAACCAAAAACCAAAACAATGGGCGCTGAGACTGGGCGTTAATCCATTCGGGCCTTCAGTGTCCTGGTGGTGATCTTGTCCTTCTCACTGCAGAGAGAGAAAGTCACAGAACATCCAGACTGCAGAACAAGTGGCTGTCCTACCTAGTCTGACTTTTGCTCATGTATGCTGTTGGCTTGTCTCCCGAGCCTGCGATGAGGAAGGGAGAATGGAGAAGCAGGAAACCCTGGCAAAGGCTCTCCATAGGTGGAACCATCAGAGTCAAGATGACTCAGGGCTGGGCTGAAAAGCCCCCCAAAGGGAAGGAGCTCCCCCAGGCCTAGAGAACAAGTAACTTAGGAAGGAGATGTGATGGGTTTCGTCCCATGCACATACAATTCTGTCCGTCCCAATCTGCTTTTCATGGTCATTAAGCAGGCTGTCCCATAACAAAAGGGTGCAAATGATTATTCTGGGATGTACCCAAGGAAAGCAATTGGGAGGACGCTTATTTTATCCAGTCAGGTTCCTAGTGACAGCCCCAAACAAGTTTTGAAAAAGGGGATGGCAGTTAGAGAGCAGGCTGGGGGTTAGAAAACAGTTCCCAGAGCTCAGTACGTCGCACAGTTATGGGTTCCACATTAGTGGGAGTTGGGAGAGAGGAGGGGAGCCACCCAGTATTTTGATCTATCTGTAGTAGCTCTGCTGTGGCTCATCATCACACAGGTCCCTGAGACTTCGGGGACACTTAAGGAAAGAAAGAAGTATCTATTGTGAACAAGGAGAGAGACTCGTCGTGGTCATAGAGCCTCACCTGACAGAGACCAGGGGAATCTGGGTAGGCTCCTAGCTGCCACCCTTAGGAAAGCATGGACTTCTGCCATCCCACATCTGCCACAAATGCCTTATGTCACACCTTACGAGAGGTCTGGGAAGATGGGGGTGTTTATGCCGGAGGGGAGAGCTTATAAACTTCCAGCTCATACTCACATGACATGGACGATGACTCCCATGCCTGACACTGCATCACGGTCCACAGCATTCAGCATGGCTTGTGAGATGGTTTCAAATAGGTGTTCTGGATCCTGCCAGCAGAGCAGAAGCCTCTCAATCCCCAGAACCTCGGGCCCTAACTTGGTCTGGCTCCTTAACTCTTTTTCTAGGCTCAAGGACCCCAGCTGTGGCCCCTCCTATGCCTGAAGTGAAAAGCCCCCTCAGCTCCTTCGCACAAGGAAGCAGGGTTATGTAAGGGAAAGTTCAAGCCTTGCACTTCCTTCACTAATCAGCAGTGTGACCTTGGGCAAGTCATATGTCCCTTTACTAAGCCTCAATTCCTCCCCTGTAAAATGGGGAGAAGACTCCCTATCTGGCTCCCATGTGCTTTGTCAGCTGTCTGATGGACTCTCCCCCTAGATGTCTCATGGATACCTCAAAACTCAACCTGTCCAGCCATGACAACACATTTTCACCCAAACCTATTCTTCATTCTCAATCTTTGTTGGTTTAGCTAGAAAACCCAGGAGTCCTCAATATTTCCATCTCCCTCACTTCTGTTTTAAATGACCAAGTCCTCTACACTCCGGCAGCCCCGCTCTCCCACTGCCACAATCTTTGCTCAGAACCTGAGTGCCTCCTGTCGGTGACCACAATAGCTTGTCCCATTTTCCTGCAGGCCTCTGGTTTCCTAGGGTTCCTTATTGCCTTTGACATCATGCCAAAAGAAAAAGTTCAAACTCCCAGGCATGGCATTCAAGGCATTTCAAAGTCTCATCCCACCTTCATTCTCAGTCACCATCTCACCCCACATCCCGCCTACACTCCAGCAACCAGTGAGTTCTCTCCAGTCTGAACACTGGGCCCCACCTGCACCTTTGTACAGCTGTTCCTTCTGCCAACCAGGCCCTTTCTTTCCTCCTCTTCCTAGCAAATGCAGTTTAACAAGTATGTGGGTGTCTGCCGTGATTGTTAGATTGCAGTGAGCCCTTGAAGACAGATTGTCTTGTTTCCCCAGAGCCTGACCGAGCTGGCACAGCAGGCAATCCTTACTGTCAGCCACTGTTCCAATCTTCTCATGTTTTCTTCACACCTCCATTTATAAGGTAGGTTCAATTATTACCCCTATTTTACAGCTGAGGAAATGAGGCAGAGAAGTAAATTGACTTACCCAAGAACATAACTAAGTGGTCGGTGGAACTGGTTTTCCAACCCAGACAACCTGGCTCCAAAGCCCATTCTGTTCAGTTGCCTCTAACCCTACACTTTCCATCTTGTTAAATGTTTGTTAAATGAATGAGAGAACGTTGAAAACCCAAAGTGAGGAATTATTTGTTGTAGCAAATAGCTGACTGGGCTCTCCTAAGAGAAGATGCTCTCCCCTGAAGCCAGCCAGCCCACACCAAGACCCTGGCAGATGGAGTTTCTGGCTCAGCAGCTGTGGCTTTCTCTCCTACCTGCACCATTCTCCCCATTACCTGCAAGGTAAACACATTTTTCCCTGGTGGCCAAGGAGGGGAGGGTACCTCAGAGCCCAGCCCCACTCCAAGCCACCAACTCACCATGTTGGGCTCCCAGAGGGACTCGCACATCCCGTACATTTGTTCGGCACAGGTGCCACTGACCACAAAGTCGTCAGTCACCATGGGGCAGCCAATGAGGTCTAGAGAGCAAATGAAGGGCTTAAAGGTCTTCGGGTCCAACCCAGCAATGACCGGCTCAGTGTAGTAGGGGCCAAACCTGTGGGGCCAGGAGCAGAGAAACCAGAACTCAAGAACACTTACTTTCTTGTTCAGGCCTATTCGGACAAGGCCCTGGCCCAGACCCAGGAGGAACTGTTCAGGGAGGTCTCCTTTCCCTGTGGCCAGTCTTGATGAGCTCTTTCCCCCTCTCCTGGTATCTGGCAATGCTCTAAGATTTTTCTTCTTGTTTTCTGTGACATTTCCCTTCATATCCTTCTCACCCCCGACCCTCTCTCTTCCTCATACTTTGAGAAGTCTGCTCTCTTCTAGTCTTCCTATCCTAATCCCGGTCCTAGCACCATTCAGTCCTCTATACATCCATACTCCTACTCCTTTCAAAAAAGGATTTGAGGCAGTTTATAAGAAAAACACTGAAAAATAAAATGAAACCAAAAAAACAGAATACAAGACACTCAGACTGAACACAAAGTTTTGTTCTGAGCCTCCCAGAAGGCAAGGCAAAGAAGGATACTCAGTGGGCTGGGTCATTCTCATTGTCTGCCAACACTAACTAGCAGCCCATCAGAAACTTGTTCTAGACTCTGAGCTTTGAGAAGAATCAATCTTAGGGATCTTTATATATAAAATACTTGAAAACTAATGGTTACTATCCTCAAAACTGTAAGAGGCATTACCCATATCTTATATTGGCTCTCAGTAATTT